TTAGTTGAATGCTTAGGGTTCTACTTCAATATATTTATTCAAAGCCAAGGCCAACTGATCCAGTTCCATCTGTGACACAGAAGAAACATGAAGGACCAGTTTTACTGATGTGTGATCCTGATTGGAAGAGTTGCAGGATGTCAGCTCTGAAAATATGCTCCTCAGAAGAGATATAACCTCTTCTCTTTGCTGTTTGGCCGTTGTAAAGGGACTGGCTAGACCCTAACCTAATTCACTAGTTTTCTCCAGATACATTCACACTGCACCTGTTATTCTCAGATCTAAAGGAGGACAAAGTACAATCCAAAGTGGATATTCAACTAACCAAATTTCTCCTCCAAAGATTCAGACCAAGGTTGTAGAGGGGCTTTTTCTAAAATCTCTAAGTCAGCAAAACTGATTGTCCATGCTATATAAATGAACTTTCCCTGAAATTTATCAGGCCAGGGAGAACAGAAACAAATATGATGGCTATTAATTCAACACTTTAAATACAATTTTTTCTAAGTATACCAGTTAAAAGACAGACGTTGTGAGAGTGGATTAAGAAATGAGACTCAGCTGTATGTTGTATACAATGAACTCACTTTGAATATAAGGACATTTGGTTAAAAGTAAGGAGACAGGAGCAACTGGTAGTGGCACAAACCTGTGATCTCAGCTACTCGGAAGGCTGAATTGAAGTGGGAGGATCACTTGGCTCAAGAGTTTGAGACCAGCCTGGGTAACACAGTAAGATCCTGTCAGAAAAAAAAAAAAGGAGAAAGATAAGATATAAATCAAAAGCAAGTTATATTAATTTGTTTGGAGTCTCACTCTATTGTCCAGGATGGAGTGCAGTGGCACAATCTTGGTTCACTGCAATTTCTGACCATGGGTTCAAGCTATTCTCCTGCCTCAGTCTCCCCAGTAACTGAGACTACAGATGTGTGACACCATGCCTAGCTAATTTTTATATTTTTTAGTGGAGATGGGGTTTTACCATGTTGGTCAGGCTGGTCTCGAACTCCTGACCTTAGGTCATTTGCCCATCTCAGTCTCCCAAAATGCTGGGCTTACAGGTGTGAGCCACCATGTCCAGCCTATATTGATTTCATACGGAGACGACTTCAGAGCAAAGAAAGTTGTCAGGGATCAAGGAGTCTATTACGTAATGATAAAGAGGTAAATTCTCCAGAAGATATAATAATTCTTAATGTATGTGTGCCTGAAAAGAGAGCATTAAAATCCATGAGGTAAAAACTAATAGAACTGTGAGGAGAAATAGATGACTACACTGTTATAGTCGGAGACTTTAACAATTCTCTATCCGAATTGGATAGACCCATTAGTCAGAAAAGCAGTAAGGACATAGCTGAACTCAACAGCACCATTAACCAGACATAATTGACATCTTTAGACTACTTCATCCAACAACAGCAGAATATACATTCTTCTCAAATTTATATAAAATGTTCACCAGTATTGACTACATTCTGTGTCTCAGAACACAGTGAAATTAAACTAGAAATTAATAATAGGAAATCACCTAAAATACTTGGAGATTAAACAACATACTCTAAATAATATGGGTCAAAAAATATGTCTCAAGAGAACCTAAAATATATTTTGAACTAAATGAAAATAAAAATACAACTTATCAAAATTTGTGGTATCAAGCAAAAACAGTGCTTGGGGATAATTTATAGCATTAAGTGAATATGTTTAAAAATATATCTAAAATCAGTCATCTAAGCTATAACCTTAGCAAACTAGACAGAGAAGAAAATATTAAATCTAAAGTAAAAAAAGAAATAATAAAAATTAGAATAGAAATTAATGGAAATAAAAACAGAAAATTAATGGAGAAAATCAAAGAAACCAAAAGTTCATTCTTCAAAAAAAAAAAAAATCAATAAAATAGTTATGTCTCTTATCAGGCTAAGAAAAAACAAAGATAACAACAATTACTGATACAAGAAATAATAGGGGACATCACCACAGATCCCTTGGGCATTAATAGGATAATAAAGATGAAGAAATACTATGAATAGCTCTATGGCCACAAATCTTTAAGTGAAATGGATTAATTCTTTGAAAGATACAATTCACTAAAACTCACACAAAAATAAATAGGCAATCTAAATAAGACTACATTTATTAAATAAGTTAAATCAGCAGTTAATAGCATTCCAAAACAGAAAACACGAGGCCCACATGGATTCACTGGTAAATTCTATCAAATATTTAAGTCAGAATCAATACCGATTCTATGCAATTTCTTTCAAAAGATAGACACAGAGGGAATATTTTCTAATTTATTCTATGAGATCAGCATTACCTTTATATTAAAACCAGCCAAAGACTTTACAAGGAAACTATAGACCAATGCCTTACATAAATGTAAAAGCAAGAATCCTCAGCAAAATATTTGCAAATCAAATCCAGCTATGTATAAAAGGTATCATACCCCACAAGCAAGTGGGATTCATTCCTGATATGCAAATTTAGTTCAACATTAAATAATAAAGCACACATAGAAGAAAGAAAAACAAATGTATCATTTACCCATGAGTAATATAAAATTTCTAACAAAGGTATAATTGGAGCCTCAGATGTAAAAAATAGAGACAGAAACAGAAAAACCCTTTCAAGAAATATCGATTAATTTTTTTCCAAATTATTTGATGAGAACTGTAGACCCACAGATCCAAGAAACTCAAGAGACACTGCATAGGATAAAAACAAACAACACCACACTGAAGCTAATCATAGTTAAGCTGCTAAAAACCAGTGACAATGGAAAAAAAAAATCTCAAATCAGCAAGAGGCAAAAGAAATATATTGTACAGAAGAACAAAGAAGAGAATGGCAGTAGCAGATTAGGCAAGCCAGAAGAAAATGGAATAATATCTTTAAAGGGATAAAAGGAAACCAAACCTATCGATGTTGAATTTGATACCTAGCAAAATATTTTTCCAAGATGAAGGCAACATAAAAACTTTCAGAAAAGGAAAAACTGAGAGAATTTGTTTTCAACAGATCTACACTTCAGAAATTGTTGAAGGAAGTTCTAGTTCTGGTTGCATATCATACATGCATACCTTATAGTAGGTATGCCACCAAAAGCAGAATTTACTGGTCCAATCTCATTCTAGGCACTGGGCCTATGGTAATGGACAAGAGAGTCCCTGTTCTCAAGGAAATGCTATTCTGCACTGTTGAATATTCTTTACAAAGAACTTCTGGACAAGCAACTATCAGGAAGAGTGAAGCTAATAGCTACAGTAAATTGGTGATGGGTTTCCCACCAGGCTCAAACAAATAACTCACTTTTAAAAAATCTCTTTTATGAAAAGTGATCAAAGTACCAGGCTTTAGGGATTAGAAAAGGTAAAGGGAAAGGAGACACAAAAATACATGATTTCTATTTTATTACTTTAGGGGGGTTTATAAGTAGCATATTCTTTGGAACTGAATACATGAATTGATAATATAAAATATCAATTTATAATATAATACTTAAAAATTTACCTTATCAACAGATTTTCTATTTCCCTTTTCCAATTATTTTACAAGTTTAAAATTTCATTTTAAAAAGTAGAGTAATATAGTTTCAATCATTTTAACAGATGAGTAAATAGTTTTATTTTCAAGTTAAAATGACTATCCATTCTGGAAATTCTAAGTTATTTGAATTTGTAATGTCTTTTCATATTGAAACTTTATTAGAACTTAACATGATTGTGATACAAAGTTCTAGAAGACATCTTCAAGAGAAAGAGTGGCTCTTATAACAGATTCTTCATCAATGTGGAGATTTGCTTAAGACTGTTTTGGTATCAGGCTGCTATGGAACCATGAGCTCTCAGGACAATGAAGATTTATCTACATTTCCTCCCAGGACTCTAACTGAAAGAATTTGGTTCTAAGCAAGTACTTTGTAATGGACAAGCATAAAGAAATTTCTGGAAGTATAAATATTCAAATCTTTTTTTTTTTTTTTGAAACAAAGTTTTGCTCTTGTTGCCCAGGCTGGAGTGTAGTGGCATGATCTCGGCTCACTGCGATCTCCGCCTCCCAGGTTCAAGCCATTCTCCTGCTTCAGCCTCCCAGGTAGCTGGGATTACAGGCATGTGCCATCATGCCCAGCTAATTTTTTGTATTTTTAGTAGAGACGGGGTTTCTCCATGTTGGTCAGGCTGGTCTCAAACTTCTGACCTCAGGTGATCTGCCCACCTTGACCTCCCAAAGTGCTAGGATTATAGGCGTGAGCCACTGTGCCTGGCCTAAGTAGTAAAATCTTAAGGCAGAATTGAACATTTCTGTGTGCAATTAGTACACTACCATTAAGATTCCACAATATTCCTGATATTTTAAATTAATGATATTATTTAAAATAGAAAGAAATCCAAGGCTAAAATATTTCTACAAAACATTTAGTAAGATTGAGGAGTCCTGAACAATGTGCCTCAGTTTAAACAACCTTTGCTGAAAACCCGAAGCATAGCAATGGCTTTCTAGGGGAAGAAAGATGACAAGAATTTCTGAATGATAAATTTTAGTCTCATTTGAGATTCTCAGTTAAATTCTCTTTCATCTATTGAAGAGATCTAATTTATAACACAATGGTCTCTTAAATGATGAGTAATAAATTAACTTTCTTTTCTTCTTAGATATGGGGATCTCACTATATTGATCAGGCTATTCTTAAATGCCTGGTCTCAAGTGATCCTCCCGTCTCAGCCTCTCCAGTGACTAAGATTGCAGGCTTGAGACACCATACCCAACTTAATGAATTAACATTTTTAAAAGATAAAGGAAAAGGACACAGGAGCTGGCATTCGATGCCTTCTGTCTTTAGAAAACATAAATATGTCAGTTAGCCACACTTTAATTAACTGTCAAATACCCATGTATTATTATTTTTCTCAGAAAAAAAAACCCTCAGTGTCTGTGGTCTAAAGAACTATTTAAAAAGTATCCTTCTTCCTTTTCGATCCGCCATCTGCGCCTCACGTGGGGCCGCCACCAAAATGCAGATTTTTGTGAAAACCCTTACGGGAAAAACCATCACCCTCGAGGTTGAACCCTCGGATACGATAGAAAATGTAAAGGCCAAGATCCAGGATAAGGAAGGAATTCCTCCTGATCAGCAAAGACTGATCTTTGCTGGCAAGCAACTGGAAGATGGACGTACTTTGACTACAACATTCAGAAGGAGTCTACTCTTCATCTTGTGTTGAGACTTCGTGGTGGTGCTAAGAAAAGGAAGAAGAAGTCTTACACCACTCCCAAGAAGAATAAGCACAAGAGAAAGAAGGTTAAGCTGGCTGTCCTGAAATATTACAAGGTGGATGAGAATGGCAAAATTAGTCGCCTTCGTCGAGAATGCCCTTCTGATGAATGTGGTGCTGGAGTGTTTATGGCAAGCCACTTTGACAGACATTATTGTGGCAAATGTTGTCTGACTTACTGCTTTAACAAACCAGAAGACAAATAACTGAGTTAATAAAAGACATGAACTAACAAAAAAAAAAAAAAAAGTATCCTTAGAACTTTCCAGTAAAATCGACAAATTCTTAGAAGAATAAATACATATTTTTAATCACATAATTAGGGATTTAAGATTATAGGCTTGGAATAAACACATTATATCCTGTTTCTATTGTTAACGTATTATAAATGAGAGTAGCATTTATTTATTTATTTTGAGAGTGAGTTTTGCTCTTTGTTGCCCATGTTAGAGTGCAATGGCACGATCTCGGCTCACTGCAACCTCTGCCTCCCAAATTCAAGCGATTCTCCTGCCTCAGCCTCCCAAGTAGCTGGGATTATAAGTGCCCACCACCAGGCCCAGCTAATTTTGGTATTTTTAGTAGAGATGAGGTTTGTTTATTTATTTATTGTATTTTTAGTAGAGATGGGGTTTCACTGTGTTGGCCAGGCTGGTGTCAAACTCCTAATCTTGCGATCCACCCACCTCAGCCTCCCAAAGTGCTGGGATTATAGGCATGAGCCACCACACTAGGCTATTTTTTTTTTAACTTACATTTTACAATCTGGGGTACATGTGCAAATTGTGCAGGATTATTACATAGATATACAAATGCCATGGTGGTTTGCTGCATTCATCCCATCATCTACATTAGGTATTTCTCTTAATGTTATCCCTCCCCAATTCCCCCACCCGCTGCTATCCCTCCTCTAGCCTCTCTACCCCCCAACAGGCCACCATGTTTTTCAGGCTGGTCATGAACTCCTGACCTCAGGTGATCCACCCACCTCAGCCACCCAAAGTGCTAGGATTATAGGCATGCTCCCGGCCAGAGTAGTCTTTAAGATTGATTTTGGCTGGGTTAGGTGACTCATGTCTGTAATCCCAGCACTTTGGGATGGGAGGAGGATCACTTGAGGCCAGGAATTTTGAGGCTGTGGTGAGCTAGGATCATACCAGTGCACTACAGTCAGGACAGTAGAAAGCGACCTTGTCTGAAACAAACAAATATAAACAAACACAACAAAAGAAGAAGACATTGTATAATGTGTTAGTTATTTTGGCATATTTAAAAGTAGATAAACCCTATTTTTAAAAATGCAGTGAGTTTTTGGCAGGAAGTACCATACAAATTCATAGAAAGTTTCTACTATTTTCATTTATTCTGTGAATCTTATTTTTCTTTTTAATAGTAATCTAATCTTTTTTAATCCAAAATACAACATAGACATTATGTGTAGTAGGGGAGATTGACACATGCATAAACACAGTAATCCCAATGCAATGTAGGGAGAGTCTCTTTCCCTAATTTAATTTAACATAAAAGCTTATATAAAATTTAATGACTGAAAGCTATTTGAAAGTTAAATAAGTTATAGAAAAGAATATATACATATTTAGATACTCCAACTTACAATGCAGTCAGTATGAAATTAATATGGATAAATGGAAAATAATCTTAAGAATATGAAGGAATTATGTAAGCGGAATATGTAAGAAAATGTCACCCATGTCCTGAAACAAGTGCCAGACATAGAAAAGAAGACGTATATGACCAAAAATAAACATTTCTGTAAGATGAATACAAAAAAACTTACAAAAGTTAAAAGACTAATGACAAAATGGAAATTTGCATGAAAGATCAAATTCAACATCTATGTCTTTAAAAAATGCTAATAAACATTTTATCTCCTTTTAAAAACATAAAAGGAATGACCAAGCAAATCACAAAAGGTGATATATAAATATCTCATATATGCACATACAAAAAAATTAGACCTCACTTACTATTCTTAAATGCAAATAAAAAAACAGGATGCCACTTTCCATACAGATCAGATTGGCAGTTGCAATGACAGTCACACCAGGGTTGCCAAGGATGTGGGAAGCACGTCTTCTCATTGACTGCTTATGGGGCTCTAAGTTAGTTAAAGAATAGAACAAAACAAAGCAAAGCAAAGCAAAAAAGGTATATTTTCCTGGAAGACAAAATAATTTTGGCTTTCAGGAAAGGCAATTTAAGACATCCCCTTAAATTGAATGATTATAGTCTTTGACACACCAATTCCACTTTTAGGAATTGATCTTAAAAGGTAATTGTGCCAGTGTTCACAAAATAAGTGAAGAATATTCATCTTTTTTTTTTTTTTTTTTTTTTTGATACAGAATCTTGCTCTGTCGCCAGGCGCCAGGCTGGAGTGCAATGGCGCAATCTCAGCTCACCGCAACCTCCGCCTCCTGGGTTCAAGCAATTCTCCTGCCTCAGTCTCCTTAGTAGCTGGGACTGCAGGCGTGCGCCACCATGCCCAGCTAATTTTTGTATTTTTTGGTAGAGACGGGGTGTCACCATGTTGGCCAGGATGGTCTTGATCTCTTGACCTCGTGATCTGCCTGCCTTGGTCTCCCAAAGTGCTGGTATTAGAGGCTTGAGCCACCGCACTTGGCCGTGAAGAATATTAATTTTAATGACTGCAGTTTTTTTTTTTTTTAAGAAATATACCTTTTATTTAAAGAAATTTAAGAAAAACAAATTTATTAGCAAACTGAACACTGCTTGCATCTAGAGGATAGGATTTGCGATTGTGTTGGTTTCTCAAGCTGATTGGCTCAAAGTATATTAGAAAAACAAAACAAAACACATATTTTCCATTAAATGTGATTCATGTTGGCTATATACAGCTTTGGATTTTTGTGGATATCGGCAAGGAACAGAAAGTTAAAATATAAATGAAGCCAGGCACAGTGGCTTACACATGTAATCTCGACAGTTTGAGAGACCAAGGAGGGTGGATCCCTTGAGCCCAGGAATTCAGCAGCAGCCGGGGCAAGATGAGGAAACCCTGTCTCTACAAAAAATACAAAAATTAGTCTTATGTGGTGATGTGCACTTGTAGTTCCAGCTACTTGGGAGGCTGAGAGGTGGGAGGATCACTTGAGCCTGGGAGGCCGAGGCTGCAGTGAGCTCTGATCACACCACTGCACTGTAGCCTAGGTGATAGAGTGAGACCGTCTCTAGAAAAAAATTAAAAAAGGAGACATTCAGTATTTGGGCCTGTAGAGAAGCAAGGAAAAGCAAGAATAAAATACTTTTATTAGGTCCAATTTTTAACATGATCAAACAAGAATAAGAATAGTACCATAGGGTTAATTAAAATTAACCTGTAAGGCCCAGTGAAGAATGAGGCAGACATGTGGAAACAAGGTCTAATGCCACTGAAAACAAGGAAATGCTTTCTTTCAGGGCTGGTTTACTGTGTTTCCATGGATATGCAACTCATGAAGATGCAGGGTGGCTTACTTTTGTGTAGCCTAGATAATATACCATCATTTATTTTCTTTTCTTCAATGACTTCCTTTTAACATGTATAGTTTTCTGCATTTGAGAACTTCACTTGGGTTATAAAATTGGAATGTAACTGTTGATTTTCATTTGATGCCTCTGTGAATGTATCCACACAATATTTCTCATTTCCTGTTCCTTCAGCTTTATATATGCATAAAACACACTGTAGTGGAACTGTCTGTTGAATGCCAGCACATTCATTTGTACCTCATGCTCATAAAACACGTCCTCCAATGTCTTTCCCCCACTGCCACCTACAGCTTCAAATAAAGCCTTGTGTACTCCGTAATGATCTGCTATGCTCTTCATCTGGTCAAAGTCTTCTGCTTGAGCCAACAGCCGCAACCCCTCAGGATAGAGCTTGCTGAAGGATGGATAGAGGGTCTCCCAGTCTTCTTTGCTCAATTCAGTGCCAAAGGAGTTAAGAGTATTGATAAAAGCATGTCTGTTGGCCTCATACTCAAAAATGGGACACATAACTTCTGCTGTGACATCACCATGATTCTTACAGAATTTATAGAATGTCTCAAGGTAAGATTTATACAGTTTATTGTACAGCAATTAAATATTCAGTTCATCTAGAGCATTTACAGACATGCAGTCTTGAAAGAATGGAGCTAATGGTGTTTCGACCAGAAAGGCATTAAAGGGATCTGAAGGTGTCTCTGCAATGTTGACAGCTTCCATTTATGTGAAACGGCCCAAGGGGTGGCACTTCCCTGGAATTTCTTTCACAGATTTTGTCTGCAATGCACCATTCATCAGCAGAATCGCACTGTCATATAGGTGAGAAATGTGCTGAGGGGCTTCAGGGAATGATTCTGGAAATACTAAAATTCTCCACATAGTCTTTTCCTCATCTTGTTGTCAGTTTTAGAAACAGTAAGAGGATTTGTTTGATTAGCCAAAGAGTTACCATAATCAGTAGTCTGGTGATGAATTTTCAGATCTTCTAGGGTCTCACACTGGACTAGCTTAATATAGTCCTGCTGCGTCAGGAGGCTGGCCTTACATCCTCAAACCAGGCCCTCCAGGTAGCCATCGTCCATGCTGAAGTACAGCTCTGCACCTTCCAGCACGGGGGAAGAGGCTGCAGCCAAGACAGGGTGAAACAGCTCTGTAGTCCTGGATGGCCCCTGAAGACTTACGCTAGCCTGTAATCCCAGCACTCTGGGAGGCTTAGGCGGGCACATCACCTGTGGTCGACACCAGCCTAACCAACATGGTTGAAATAAATAATGTTTTAAATTAAGAATGGCTGGAAATAAGCCTTAGATCTATTAGCAGGGGACCTTTAAATAGTTGGGAAACACTTATACAAAGGATCCCTTTTTTATTATAATAGCTCTATATATGGCATGCTAATCCATGATGACATGAAAAAAATGATCTATAAACTATCAGAAAATAGAAAAAGAGGTAGCAGGATAGCATGCATAAAATAATGCCTTTTATTTAAAGCTGTATGTAGGTATGTGTGCTATAGACTGTAAGCTATCTGGAAGTGTGCTCACCAAAAATTTCCTGTGGTCGTCTCCGGGTGATAGGATCTTTTTTGGCATTTTCTTATTCTTTTTGCAGTGAGCTTATACTGCTTTGTTTAAATAAACAAAAATGGTAAATCAATTTAAGAAATAAGTATAAATGATGGATAATAATCACAAATAGAGGAATATATGTAACACACAT